ATTGCTTTTTTTGTATACAAAAAAAAAAAAAGTTTGTCATCTAATTGTAGCCTAAATACATAATTACTTTAGTTCATGTTCAAATTTGTCTTGTAAAATTTATGATGTTCTTATATTAATAATTAACATATATAAACACTTGATTTTAAAAAATGCAGCTTCTATATAAGCACAACTACACAAGCATTCCCATAGGCAATGCATAAAACTTCTTCATATGCCCATATTTTCCCTCTTTTAATTTTTTGTGTTGCCCTCTTTTCATACACTTTATGCTACTTTTTCTGCATCTTCATCTTCATCCTGTTGCAATAATATATCTTTTAACAAGGGAATTAATAGGATAATCTCACCATCGAAACTAAATTTGTCATGCAAACACCAAGAATATCATTATTAAAAAAACAAATCATAAGCCATCAAGATGAAAGATCTAAAAATTTATGCAACCCTAAAGAAAGATGCTCGTAATAAGTAGCCATCTAATTCACACAAAAATTAGATTCATGATGAACATGCTAAACTTGATAATTCCAACTCCTATGAATAATCTCCATGCAAGCTAATTAGCTCATTTGATAGATTTTTGTATTTGTTTGCACGTGGTGAGATCTGTTAAAATAGTGTTATCTCACATCTATTAAATATTAAATTTTTTGTGATTTTATATTCTTGTTAGATTATTGTTAATTTGATAGACTTTTTCATTTATTAGTAATTTGTTTTAAAATAAACGTTTAACAATATAGTTAATATAGTAAAAATAAAAGTATTCGTGTATAACAAAAAAAAGAAAACTAAAATAAACTAGTTTTAAGTTCGTGCAATGCATTGACAAAAATTATATATATAAAAATTTAATTTTATAATATAATTAATAACTTTATATAAAAATAAATTTTTTAAAAAATATACATGTAAATTGATATTTTTATTTTAAATAAAATAAGTATTCTGGATATAATTATTTTTTCTTTTTAAAATATGTAACATATCTAAATACATAAATTCATATGAAATGTTGCATTAAAATATAATTTTTTAAATTGTTTTACAAATTTTCAAATATAGATAGTATTAGAAAAAACAAATAAATTGATAGACGATATATAGAAAGTTAAATCAATTCACATAAGCTAATAAAGCATATTGTATAACTATTTAGAGAAAAAAGCTAATAAATTGATATGAAATGAAAAAAAAAAAGAATACAAAAAACAAAATAGTAATAAAAACTTTTGATTATCAGGTAAAAATTGTAAAAGTTATGAAAAATATACTTTTAGACAATTCAAAAACCGACCATTTTGTAATCTAAGTGACGGACAAAGTGATAAAAAAAAATTGAATCATAACATTTAATGAGATATGGTTGGAAAGGAAAAAATTATTTTGAATTAAATTAAAATTTTAAATTTGGTTTGGAAAGGAGTTAATATTTTAAAAAAGGTAAGAGTGATGTTAATATTTTAAAAAAGGTAAGAGGGATATTTCTAATAAATTACCATGATTTTAGAATAAATTGATTTTAATTATACATTTAATATTTTAAAAAATAAATAGTAAAAAATGTGAGGTAAATAGATTTTTAAAAGAAAATTAATATAATTAATTCAATAAAAAATGAATGTTTTGACACCAATTTGCATTTAGTAGTAGATTTTTGTACTATTGTATGGACTAAATATTAAAATTAGAACAACTATAAAATTATCAAAATTAAAAAGAAATCGTGATAAAAATTTTAATTATTTATTTTGGGTTGGAAAATTTTGTGTACTAATTTGAGTTGAAGAAATAAAAAAAAAAAGAAAGTGTTAATATAGTGTGAATTCATATTTTTGTATTTTATTCGCATCTCTAGTTACATCTTCAAATTCTAGAAAAATACTTACAATGGCAATTCAATATAATTGCATAATATAAAAATCGTTGTTATCTAAAATAAAACTCAATTAAAAATTAAGAAAATTAATTAAAAACAGTGATTATAGATTTAAAAATTCTATTAACAAATTCATAAAATGAGATATCATTATGCTAAAAATATCATAATAAAAGTACTTTTAATTAGTTATAACATTGTTTGTATTTTATTTTTTGTAATAAATAATTAAACAAAAATATGTTTGTATTTTGATTTTATAATAAAAAATAGAAGAAACATATAACATATTTAAAACTTATTCACATTATCTCCAAACATACTCGTGTAAAAAATAAACTTAATATCAACTAAAATGAAAAGAAATCTTATATGAAATTTAATAAATAACTACAATAGCACAAAAAATCAAATCAATTAAAACTCACAAAAAAAAAAATACAATCAAATCAAAAATAAAATATAACATCCCGTTTGTAATACAAAAATTATTAAAGAAAACAATCAATCAAATATTTTTAAATGATGCCTTAAGTTTGAAAAAAAAATACCAAACCAACAGCATCCTAGGTAATTCTTTTGTAGATGCTGAATATTCCTTTGATATTCCCTTCATTTTATTTCAAAACTTTATAAGTAGAGATATTTTTATATGAAATATATAAAGAATCAAATCTAATTATTAAGAATCATTGTGCTTCTAACCAAGACAAATAATTACTCCTTTAGACCTCTACAATAGTTTACAATTTTTTAACATCAACTCTTTATATACTTTGGCTAAATCCACTTGTATACATAATCAAATTGATATAGATTTTTATATGAAGCACATATTGTATTTCATAATATAAAAAGTAATACATAAATCAAATTGCTAAACGTTTCTAAAAAGTTATAGATGGATCCCAAAAAAATTAAGCAAATAAAATACTACACCATACAAAACAAAATATACATGCAAAGACACAATCATAAGATCATTTGAATATGCAAATGAATACATCAATAAAATAGGTTGTAAAAAATTATCAATATAAACTCAAACCTAGAAGTTTCATTGCTCTCTAAATCAACATCCAATTTATAATTGTAGTTGGTCATGATAGTTATTTATAAAAATATTTAAAATTTTAAAGTTTAAATATGAAAAGTTGACCGTGAATTAAAAAGAAAATTACCTAAGGAAGGCAACAATAATAGATTGCAAAAAATAATCTCATCACATAACTTATTTTGACATAAAATCAAGTATGATTGTAGACAATTTAAATTTATTTAAAACCTTTTGGGAAATATAGAAAGAAAATATTGTTTTTTAATATAATTGAAGTTAAAATTTTAATTGTAAAAGGTCACATAAATGTAAAAAGTTAAGTATTTAAATTAAAATTTTAAAAGGAAAGAAATATACTTGATTGTTTGAAATATTTTTAATTAAAATCAAATTAAATAACAATCTATATGTTAATTATATAAGCTATCCATATTAGATTTTTTTTATATCAAAAACTTCAACTTTTATATATTTATACATAAAAAAAAAAACTCCTAACTCTATGATGAAAGAGAGATTGATAGTTTCGAAAGGCGAATGAAACCCTTCTGGTGTTTGTATCGAAAATCAAAACGTAAATGTATCAAAACTAAAAGAAAATCAAATCAAATCAAAACTTAATATAACTATTGAAATTTTGCTTGGTCTTTGTTTATAGTTTTTGTGAAGTAATGCCTCTCCGAGTGAAGACACAGCGATGTATAATTAATTGACACAGATAGATTCGCAGCTAGCCACTACATGCATCTTTTTCTCATTAAATCCAACAGATAGATTCAACAAGAAAAAACAAAAAATTGATACGTTGAAAATGTAATATTGAAAAAAACAAAGAGATAAAAAGTTGCATAGAGCCCATCAATGAACCAATAGCAAACAAATGGATGCATGCAGTATTACCATATTCATTGGCGCATATATTGGAATTAAGCTCTAGTAAATGGGTTATCTCCGAGATCTCCTTTTCGTTCTGTTATATTCGCCAGAATAAGCTCTTCCTTTCGTTGATCCAAGGCGGAAGGCGCAGACGATGAGTGAGCGGAAGTGGGCGGTTGTTGATAGGAGCTTGATCCCCCGGAAGGGGCCGACGATGACTCAGCGGAGGGTGTGCGGGCTTCGGACTGAGCTTCTGCGCCCGAAGGGTCTAACTCTAAATACAATAACATGATCACGTTCACCACAGAATATTATTATTATTTTGATTCTTCTTCTTATAAACTATAATCACAAATTGTGGCTTCAATCAAGCCTTGTATTTTTTGACCAATTGTTTTCATTCCCATCTTCACCAATCCCTCTTAATTACTTTCCTGGTTGTCCTTGTTTGTTCTTGGGGATACTTTTTGCTTTGTTAGAATTAATTAAATGTGGTTCAAAGAAAAATTTTAATTTTTTTTTTAATTTTAAGTTTAAATCATTCATATCCTACTTGATCACATGTTTTGAAAGACAAATTTATTTTGAATTGGGAGAATGAAATTCAACTTTAACTCTTTTATTAAGGAAATGCATACATCATTAAATAAAATGCTCGATCTAAAAAAAGTCAAATCTGCGAGAAGCAATTAAAAAGGATGTGGTATTTATTATATGACAAATACTCTATTACATCAAAAGTTAGGTTTAGTTCAACATTTTTATTGTAGTTGAAAAAAGCTGGTTTCGAGAAAGTGTGTTTGAAAAGTGCAGTGAAAATTTATTATAAAAATTATGATTTGAGATCTTTAAATGTTTGATATTATTATGAAAAAAAAATATATATTTCAAAAGGATATAATGTTTAGAATAAGTCATTTATATTAAGATGTATCAAAAAAATTATTCTGGGACTTAATTTTAAAATTATACAAAAATAAATTTTTTAGATTTTTCTTAAAAATACTTCAAGCTAGAAAATAAATAGTTATGTTCCCTTTATATTTCTATTTTAAGTTCAAAAATACATCAATATATCTAAAGATAATAATACTATATATTTAAATAAATCATGCTGACAAATACATATGCGTGATGTAGAAGATCAAAAGTAGCCACAAACGGAACACTTTAGATTCATGGAGTTCTCTTACAATTTGATCCGAGATTAATGTACTGGGGGAGGTACGGTAATCTTCAAAATTCACACCCTGCCACAGAAAAGTAAAAGAATCATAAGCATTAGCCATTGGCACTGACTCATGCATTGTTATGAGCAGATTTTGTAAAAATAAAATAAAAAAATAAAAATCTATGCCTTTCGAAGCACCCCAACGAAATCAATGTCCGACGAATATGTTTAAGTCATTTTCGAAATGCTATAGCTATATGTAATGGGGTAATTGATCTTTGAAGAGAAACAAAATAATTAAATAATTTTCTTACTGTTGGTATTCAATGTTAACGGATGCAGCAGAGGGATTTGCAATGGCCCCAAATGCAGTTGTGGAAAGAACCATTGTAGCACCATTGCTGGAAGGCCTAGACACCGATGTATCAGCTCGATCAACTATCTTTACTTGAATGGTTTGACTAGGATTGCAGGTTCTAGGGTTAGCCGCACTGATGCACCTTACCAAGTATTGCCGCCCACAGGAAGCACCGTTGTCCCATATTCCATCCCCAGCTGCTGCAAACAAGTTGCTAGTAGGAAACTGGGATTCATCATTCCCGAAGCAGGCCGTGGCTTCACCGATCGATTACAGACAACCAAAAAACATGAAATTTAAATTTACATAGTTATTTATCTAACATCGGTAATTAACTGTTCGTAGTTGAAGAGAAAATTACTTGTGACTGATCATATATACATATATATTGGTCACTTACGAATATATGGGGGGCTGTAATGGGCAGCAGAGCCAACATCAGCAATTGACATATGGAAGAGCGTTGTTAGGAGGAAGATGATGAATAGCCATGGCTGCTGCTGTGACATTTCTCCTGCAAATTTGAATTATACTCTTACACTTATTGGTTTCTCAAATGGCACATGTGATAGGCCTTAGAACGAGTACTATTCAAATAAGCTTGTCTATACTAATTTTATGCATTTGTTAAAATTTTTTAACCGAAATGTTATCTATAAATAGTGAATAGTGATTGATAAACACGTTGAACAAGTCAAAATGTGTAGAAATAGCACATTGCAATATAAGAGTAGTTTTTCTTTAAAATTTTAATCTACGTACCCTTAATCTTCGATTTTTATCTACTTAATTATTTGATATTAAGCACTTCAATTTTTTCAAATCTGAAATTTTTAAAATTCTTACCAACATATATACCATCTGAATTAACTAATACTCAATTAGTTTTCCAATATAAAAGATTAAACGATGTCAGAAGTTGATGTGTAATAATTAATTTATTGAATGATAGAGTTATCTTTTTATCCCGAAGTTTGTTTAAAAAGGCTTTCATATATAAAAAGGTAAAATTTTAATTGAAAAAGATTAAAAAATGAAATTAAAATTAAAAACGTAAACATCTAATATAATTTATTTGAATTTATAATTTACTCAAAAGATGTCACGTGTCAATTTTATGAATAAATTATTCTTTTATTTTTAAAAAAATATTTCTTATTTATTTGACTATACAATTCCACAAATTGATCTGACTTTTCAATTTACAAATTAAAACTCTATAATTGTCCAAGAGAATGTTCAAATCAACAAGCATTTAATTCCAGCAATTATTGATTTTTTCATCCTATTATCACAATTAATCCATTTATGAAGAGGAAATAAAAAGTTTAATTCATTATACTCAGAGATAAAGAAATCTCTTCCTCTTCTTTATTTAATTATTTTTCTGTCAATTTATTTAATGCTATTGATCTTTCAAAAGCTTTTATAAGAAAGCCTTAAAAAATTACTTTTCCTATTTTTAATCCTTCAGCTTTTATTTAGATTTTGTTTTTCTAAAAAAATATTCTCAATTTACAAATATTTTTTATTATTTTATTTAAATTCTTAAGATTTATTGATGAATATACTCATTAATTTATAATTTTTTTATACGGAATCCATCAATTAAAAGACCTAGCTTACAAATTCGATAGATATTGAAAAAAAATCTAATCATGAATTTGTTGATTTGTGATGCTTCTCAACTCATTTCAATTCTTTTTTTCTTTTTGCTTTTTGTTTATGATAAATCTTCACATTTTGTTTTTACAAAAGCTTAATATTTCACAAGTTAATAAAATAAATATGTACAAATATATTTAATATTTTTAATTGTTGTTATTGTTAAACCATAGTAACCCGTGAGACATTACCTAATTATTTTAATTTTAATCAATCAATCATATTTATAAGAATTTGATTAAATTTTATGACATTAATTTATTATCTTAAAAGTTCCATTTCACATACTAATTGTTACTTCTGTTTCCAAAAAGAAAATTGCAAGAGACAAATTTGGAGATAAAAACAAAAATAAACAAAAAAATATTTTTTAAAATAATAAAATGCATGATTCTTTTCATATATAAACTGTTCAATTACCAACATTCACATTTAACTCATGTGCCGGCTTTCAATAGATTATTATTATTATTATTGGCTTCAATTTCGCTGTTTCTAGTTAATTAATTTGTCAACCCCTAAGCAACTGTAACCCCAGCCATTTATATTTGTATGAGACTAAGATGAAAGTGATATGTGAATACACCGCCTGCCTACACCTTGTCAGACCAATCAGCACCCATCGCGGTGCAGCTGGATTTTGACACTGACGGTCTTAAATTTAGCCGGAACCGGACACTACCGGCATCAGGCTTTCCCATAACATATATATAACATATGCTCAACAGTTAGGGTAATGAATGCTCTTCCGGTCAACAAATACTGCAAGCAAAACAAAACAAAATATATATGTAAATTACATACCTCTAGTTATCAATGATCACCTGGTCAAGCTTGTGAAAACCCAATTTTAAAAATCTTTTTTCACTTGATGTTTTAGTTTATCACAGGCTACATATTTATAGTATGGACTAAAGACATTTTTTTATTTTAAATTTTATTATTAAGGAAACAATTTAATTTTAAATAATTATGATTAGATTTTATCATTTTGAATTTTGTTCAGTACATGTATCTATATTTATTTGGTTAATTGTATATCTGTTTCATTAAATGCTTGAATGTTGACAATACATGTACCTAATGATTAGAATTATGAACATTTTAAGTTAATTATTTATTACCAAATATATCTATTATATGAATCTATAATTTTTACAAAAATGGAAAAGAATCTAGAAATTAAATGCGAAATTTATTTTTTTTATCAAAGGATTGAGAAATTATTGATGGAAAGGAATTTATCTTATCATACAACTAGGGTTAGAGATATGTTAATTTTATTTATATTTAATGAGAAATTCAATTTTTTATCCAAATAATAAATATTTTATTGTAAGGATAAAAATGAAAATAGATATAATTTTAAAATTTTTACCAAATAAAGAGATGAAATCGTGTAATATAATACTTATCCTATACCCATATTATATATTATATTTAATAGATAGATTGTTATTAAATAATATAAATTATTAATTTAAATTAATTAGAACTAATATATTTTTATTTAAAATATTTATTAATATCTTTATAAAAAATTATATAAATATACAAGATAAAAATAAAAAAAATTATTTTTTATTTTTTAAAAAAAATTATAGATATAAAAATTATTTATATCCATTAAATACAAGTAAAAATGAGAATGCAAATAAATTTAAAATACCTATAAAATATAAATATAAAATAAATATAATATAAAAATTCAAAAAAAAAAAAAAAAAAGCATTCACGTCTCTACGTGCAACTAGTCAATTGTTAAACGTAAAGATGACATGTTATTGTTATGAAAAAAGAAAATTCTAGTGCACCCTGGAAAGAGGAAGAAAATTAGAATTGTTCTTCAAGGCTTGGACCCTCTTTTTCCCTACTTGGGCCTCCAAGTGAAGAACTCGGATCAAGAATTTTTTTTTTCTCCTTTTTGGTGAACTTGGGCTGAGAAGCATGGTTATCAGTACGATACCTTACCGGCATCGATCGTAGGGGCCAACTGGGAAAGTAGTTGTGTCCAACAACACACAAGACAATTAAATTTTTTTTTCGAAAAAAATTTAAGTTATATAAATTATTTAATACTCTAAATTAGAATAAAATATATTGTATCTTATAATTTAAAAAATAATATTTATAAATCATGTATTAAAAATGATCTCAACAAAATATTATTAACTAAATTCAAATCTAAAACCACTCACATAAAAAAAATGATCTTGTTAATTAAGCTAATTTTTATTAGAAAAGATAATTAATTTTATTAAAATGATCTTTTAACCTTTCAATACTAAGTGGATATTGGATATGTATATTCCATAAGTAGATAGATATGCATTTTTATCGAATTCAAACACAATTTTTTTTAAATGAATACATTTTTAAGTAAAATATTTGTTACAATAATTAAAATTTAAATTCAAATAAAAAAAAAACAATTATGCACTAAAAAGTTAATTTTGAACCTCTTTGATTTTGTGAGGATGAAAATTGGGTTTGGAACAGAAAAAAAAATGGAAGATAAGAGATAAATGTTATGAATTTGGATTTTTAATAATTGTTTGGATTTAAAGTTTAAATTTAAATTGTGCTTAGTAAATTAGTTGTATTTAGAAATTCACATTGCCAATAGCCTGGTCCACTGCTCTCATTCACAAATTTTTTTTAGACATTTAAGTCTCAACATTTCTCAGTATTTACTACACTGACACTCCTACTTTCTTTTTTTCTTCTTCATCTTAATCTTTGAGATTTCTTTCATCTTTGCTGCCTGCAGCAACTGATCTGCATCATTGTGATTTTTTTTTTCTTGTGCTCTGGAAATTATTGAATTATACTGAGTTGGGTCTTTGTGTTTCCGCATGGGTACTGCTCCAACTCAGTGCCCATCTGGAATAACTGCAAATTTCCATGCCAAATTTGATAACAGGATTGAGTTTTCAAGGTTCAGTTTCCCTTCTACTCTTAATATTTCAAAGCTTAACTGCCACCCCAATTCCAAGGTATGCAATTATCAATCTTTTAAATAATATATTTGGCTTGTACTATTCACTATCTTTCTGTTAATAGATTCTTAGTTTCCTGAATATTTCCGAGATTATGAATCAAATTTTTGTTTAATGTTGATTTGTTGTTAGATGTTTGTGCTTTTAAGGCTGCGGCTTTGAATCCTTTAATAAAATTTAATTAAAATAAATATTTTTTATTGAAAATATATAACCATGGGTGAATTAGAGTGATTTATGAGAAACTGTGGAGGAAAATGAGAAACTTGGAAATTTTTTTATACAAAATTTAAGGCCTTTGGTTTGCCTTTAAAAAGGTGGCAATGGCATTTTCCATTAGAGTATTGAAGTTTATAATCTTGCTTTTATTAGTCAATGTCCCCTGAAAGGCGAATGAAAACAAGCTGTTTTCTTGTCAGAAAGATTTATTATTTATTCTGCTTGTAAATGTCAAGAAAACTTTAGCTTTAGCCAGTTCTGACCAAGAAAGCACTGGCTTTTCCTGATTGATGGTTATGGATCATGCTCCCTAAGTGTATGTGCTTGTGGATGTGAATTTGCTAAATAGTGAAAGCCTTTGGTTTGATTTTAGTAGCTTGATTGGGATGGTAATGTCTGATTTTTTCATGGTGCAGGGATTAGTAGATAGAATATGTTCTTTGCCTGATATTGATGATTTGTTTTGGGAGAAAGTCCCTACACCTATACTTGATATGGTCGAAAACCCCATCCACTTGAAAAACTTGACTATCAAGGTTTGTGTTATGGGCCTTCTAAAACTTGACTAATGCATACTCTTAAAGCACACTTAATAAAAGATTGTCTGTACAGGAACTGAAATTATTAGCTGATGACATCCGTTCGGAATTGTCTTCTATAATGTCAAAAACTCAAAGATCCTTCAAGGCCAGTTTGGCAGCTGTGGAATTGACAGTTGCTTTACACTATGTTTTCCATGCACCAGTTGACAAGATACTGTGGGATGCTGGGGAACAGGTAACTTCATATTTCATGCTTTTTTTAACCTGCTCCCTTTGCTAGTTTTGTATATAGATGCTTCTGCATCTCTCTATCCTGATGAGCAAAATTCAAGCACAATATTGAGTAGTTGCACCTCATATTTTGATGCATGATCCACAATTATTTGTTATACTGATTTCTTCTTTTTCTTGGCAGACATATGCTCATAAAATTCTTACAGGAAGGCGGTTCCTCATGCCTACTTTGAGAAAAAAGGGTGGGCTTTCTGGCTTTACTTCCCGAACTGAGAGTGAATATGATCCATTTGGGGCTGGGCATGGATGCAACAGTATATCTGCTGGACTTGGTAGTATTTCCTTGCCTGCAGTTTACATATTTTCTAATTAGCTTCATTGGCAGATTATTCCTTATCTTCAGAATTAAACTTGGAAATTGAGAATTCTGCTTCATGTTAGGTATGGCAGTTGCACGGGATATTAAAGGCAAGCGAGAACGTGTAGTTACAGTTATCAACAATAGCACAACTATGGCTGGTCAGGTCTATGAGGCCATGAGCAATGCTGGTTATTTAGACTCAAATCTCGTTGTGATTTTAAATGACAGCCGCCATTCTTTGCATCCAAAGATAGAAGAGGGCCCCAAGACATCTATCAATGCTCTATCCAGTACCCTTAGTAGGCTCCAATCAAGTAAATCTTTTCGAAAGTTTAGAGAAGTTGCTAAGGTATTTCTTTTTGGATAAATGAATTTTATTCATCTAAAGAAAGAAGAAAATCTGCTACAATGAAACTTCGTGCTACTAAGAAGCAGCAAAAAATATTAGAAACTGGTGGAATTTTTATCTAGCTTTCCTTCCTACGTCCTTGAGACTTGAGTAAACATCAAAAAGGCCACTTTTTTTGTTCTTCCTCCTCTTGTTGTTTCTTCTTTTTATTTTGTTTATTTGTTAGGAGAACTGTTTGTTAGTGAATATTCAAAGATGCATCATATTTTAAGCTGTTTGTGCAAGTGCAAGAGTATATTGAATGTTGTTTCCCAATATTACCAGCCGTAACCACCGTTTGCTTATTTTGTTCATACATTTTCATGATGTCCATGTGGACATACTCTATTCTATCACCCTGATCAATTAAATCACTACATTGTGGATGATTGGAATCCAGAAATACAGTGAAAATGCCTAGAACTTGAGAGTTATTTGAGGTAGTCTGGAAATCCCTAGAATCCGCATATTGGTAACAAAAAGATTGTGCGTGATTGGTAGTACTTTTTTCTTTTTTACAAAAATAATTGATGAAATTCCATTGGCACAATTTCAAATGCAAGTCTTAATGATTAGTTAATGCAGTAGTAGTTCTTTATTTCCATGAAATTAATAGATCTTTGTTTTCAGGGTGTTACTAAAAGAATTGGAAGGGGAATGCATGAACTCGCAGCCAAAGTTGATGAGTATGCTCGTGGTATGATGGGTCCACTTGGATCAACTCTCTTTGAAGAGCTCGGGCTGTATTATATAGGCCCTGTTGACGGACACAACATAGAAGATCTGATATGTGTTCTACAAGAAGTGGCATCTCTGGATTCAATGGGTCCTGTGTTGATTCATGTGATAACAGAGGAAAATCAAGGTTCAGAAGATGACCAAAAGAGAGAGACAGCGGAAAAGCAGCAAGAAGGTATGCCTCCTTCTATCCTTGAATGTTTTTTGTTCCAAAAATTATAACCCTTTGAAGCCACAACTTTACAGAGGTATAAAGCTTGTTTGCCTGTAGAGATTTGGTTTTAATTACAATTAATACATTTATTGTTGTCTACTCTTCTTTAATATTTAGATTGCAGCATAGATGGAAAACATATAATCTATGGTGAATTTCTT